GAGATATAAAATCAATTGCATAGCATAGAATTGAACAAAGAAAAAAAAGCTAATCCAGTGATGCAGTGTTTTACAGTATGATATACATCAGTTTTTTTAAACCTTCTGTAACACACATTGTATAACAATTTTATTCTTTTCTGAAAATACAACAAAACCTGAAAAAAATATACAGAAAATATAATTAAAATAAAGCAATGCATTCAAACTAAAAGCTTTAAAGCACTACAGTTAAAAGCATTAAAGTAACACTATACAAAGCTATTATACAGCATGCGATTAATAATATAAATATGTTTAGTTTAATTTATTTTAAAATCTTTCAGTTCTAATTAAAACTGATATTTTTTTAATACCAATATTTACATCAATTTGTTACTTATACCAATAAGTCCCAAATGTTGTAAAACAAAAACAAAAAAAAATCACTCAATTGAAATCTTAACCCAAAATCATTTCCATTGGTAATGATGGCAAGAAATATGTAGCAATATATAGTTAGCTAATAAATAAAATTAATGTTAGGCAAAAAATGTTAGAAGAGTTAGAGCAAAAGTTGTAACTAAATTGCACACGTCATGACTTACATTTGCTATAGAGTCCATTTGCCACTGCAGGTTTCACACAATACAGCCACCGACAAAAAAGATCATTTGCTTGTTAAAATATATTTGCAGAGAGTTTTGCATAAATAATGCGATATATAAATTATTATTTAGCGTATTAATATTTATAAAATGTTGCATTCTTTTGATCTCAAAAAGCAAACATCGCTGGTAAAAGTACCTACTACAAGAAAAGGATAAAAGTAACATAACATATGTTGAATTTTTTTCTAGTTGATTTATATATGCGTAATTAAATGTTATTATAAAATGTTAATAAACTATAAATGTTTTGTTCTAAAGTTCATTTAAATATAAAATTGCAACTATTGAAATGATAATAAGAGTAACACAATTGAAAAGTTAAACGAATATATCAATGAAGAGCTTTAACATAGTATTGAAATGAATCATTATTCAAAAACGTAAAAACTTTATATTTTGCTAAAGTAGAAAAACGCAGAAATGACAAAATTCATGTATAAATCTTGTAATTAATTATTGAAGCATATTCACCATCGCTAGCTGTAATACAATTGTAACATATTATATTGAAAAATCTACGCCCATTTCTATCTAAAAACCACCAGTAAGCATAATTCTAGAAGTATTAAGCCAATTTATAAATACTATTAACTATATATTTGGAACAACTTGCAAACTGTTTATTATTGTAAAAAATATAGTAGTAAATATGATATCTGTAGTATAAATATCAAGTTTTTTCCAAGAAATATTAAAAATATATTAAATGCTGAAGATATTAGTTTAAGCTTGCAAGTAGCTTACCAACAACAACAATATCTACACGAGTTTGCCTAACGTTTAACTATGGCTAATATTTCTAACATACACTAATCTATATAAATATATATATATATATATATATATATATATATATATATATATATACAGTACAGACCAAAAGTTTCCGGACACTTGAAAAAAATCTCATTTTCTGAGTTTTTAGCTATATTTTTCATATAAAAATAATTTTATTCAAGTTGGATTTGTACATTCTACGTAGTATTAATATTTAGTGACTGATTTGTAACCAATTTGTGAGAAATAGTAGACTAATTAGTAATGAAAATGTTAAAATGTCACTGCAGTCGATTTTCCTGAATATGACCACCCTTTGTTTTGATCACTGCAGCGCATATTTTTGGTAATCTTTCGACGAGTTTTTGCAATGTTTGCGCAGGTATGTTCTTCCAGGACTCGTTAAGGCAATTCCACGGGGCAGGGAGGCTGCTTGGATGCAAATCAGTCAGACAAATGCACTACAGTTCTATTGGATTAAGATCCATTATTTGAAGTATTTTTTCATCTTGTTTTCGCTTCAAATAATTGGCACAGAGTCGGGAAGTGTGTTTAGGGTCATTATCTTGTTGAAAAATAAATTTTGGACCAATTAAATTGAAACCAGATGGAATGGCGTGGCGCTCAAGTATGCTATGATACTGTTCTTTCTTTAAAGTTCCATGTATTTTGACAAGCGATCCGACTCCATTGAATCCAAAACAACCCCAAGCCATCACTGAACCACCACCGTGCTTGACCTTTGTCGAAATACACTTAGAGTTGAGTCTTTCATTACCCTTCCTACGTCGATGACTTCCGAAAAGTTCGAATTTTAACTCATCCGTCCATAAAACTGATTTCCATTGATTGATGGTCCAATTAAAGTGGGTTTTGGCAAATTGCAATCTCTTTTGTTTATTTACTGCTCGCAGAAGTGGTTTTTTGAGTGGCCTGCACAATCGCCGGATCTTAATCCAATAGAGCTGTTGTGGGACGAGCTTAAATGCCGCGTGAAGGATTTGCATCCAAGCAGCCTCCCTGCCCTGTGGAATTGCCTTAACGAGTCCTGGAAGAACATACCTGCGCAAACATTGCAAAAACTTGTCAAAAGATTACCAAAAATATGCGCTGCAGCGATCAAAGCAAAGGGTGGTCATACTCAGGAAAATCGACTGTGACATTTTAACATTTTCATTGCTAATTAGTCCGTCATTTCTCACAAATTGGTTACAAATCAGTCACTAAATATTAATACTACGTAGAATGTACAAAACTAACTTGAATAAAATTATTTTTATATGAAAAATATAGCTAAAAACTCAGAAAATGAGATTTTTCATGTGTCCGGAAACTTTTGGCCTGTACTGTATATATATATATATATATATATATATATATATATATATATATATATAAAGGGTTTCCCAGAACTTAACGTCAAGCCGAAACAAGGTGATAGTATTGACCTTAACTGTTTCGAAAAAAAATATCTCACCTGGTTTGGAAATTATGAGCTTTTAAGTACGACCTTGAGCTTTGGTAAAATTATGACCATTTTCGGTTATTGTATTTAACTTTAAATAATTTTGTTTATTTAAACTTTTGAACCGTGACTGTAAATACTAGGACCACAAAAAAATACCACAATCATCCCATATTTTCAAGAATTAAGACTTTTTGTTGAACTATTAATTTAAAATGTTTAAAATCGGTCGACTATGGGAAGCCCTTCTTTAAAAATAATGTACTATGTGTATTGGCAAGTTCGATCAAAAGTTAGCGTATTTAATCATGATTGTAAAATGATAAAATACGTGATAGTTTTATTATTGGAAATTTTCGAGTAAAAATATAAAAACCTAAAAATGGAATAATTTTTGGAGTACCTTTTTCCCACAATTAAGTCAAACGCTTCTCGTACGCGCTACCTTCAACTGAATGTGATAAAATGTACTGGCAAAAATCATGTTATTTTTAGATTTTCATGTTTTACACTAAAGTTTCAATAATAAAACTATTATATATTTTTCTATTTTCCAATCCTCATTGTATAAGCCAACTTTTGATGAAATTTGCTAACACACTTTAATACATTTTCTTAAAAGTCGACGATTTTAAAAATTTTAAATTCATCAAAATGTCATAATTCATGAAAACTTGGGGCAAATGTGGTATTTTTTTCACTGTAGTTTTAGACATGTTATTCGCGGTTACAGTTATGAAGTTTTAATTAAAAAAAATTAATAAAAAATAACCACAATAACCGAAAATGGTCACAATTTCATCAAAGCTCTAGGTTGCACTTAAAAGCTCATAAGTTCCAAACAGTGAGGTTTTTATTAACTTCCCGTAGGACAAGTTATAGTAATCGCAAAAAAAATTGAAAATGAAAATTTGTATACATCTTTACGTTTCAAAGGTTTCTGAAAATTTTGGCATACCTTAGAAAAAATGGATGTATGTGTGTGTAGATACAAATTTTCGTCGACGATATCGGGAACACGGATCAACCGATTTGAATAATTCAAAAAACATTCGATTCGTATTGATAAGGAGTCCTGCTGATTTGTTTTTGGCAAAGGCAGGTTTAGCCGTTCCGAAGATACGGAGCAAAAAGTGCCATAAACGGTAACTCAGTTTTTAAGAGAACGGAGCGTCCGATTTAAATAATTCAAAAAACATTCTACTTGTATTAACAAGATGAAGAACTGATTAAATTTTTGGAAAGGCATGTCCAGCGGATACGGATTCTCAATGAGAATAAGGTAAAGAATGTCATTTGGCGCTCAAGAATGTTTATTGGACTTATGCACATCAAATTATCAGATATTTTATAGAGATTTTCATAATGTGTATACATTTTGTGTAATTTTTTTGGGTTCCATACCAAGATTTTTAATTACGATACGGGAAGTACCAGCAATTTGCTTTAAGGCACGATGCGATGCACCCGACTACTTACTAATTTTTTTCATAAGAATTAAGGTCAATACTATCATCCTGTTTCGGCTTGACGTAAGGTATGAAACATCCTCTATATAACCATGAACTATTATTCGATCACTAAATCTAACCAAATTTGCATTTTTGTACAATGTTGTTAGACTATTTACCAAATATTTCGGTCTGCGAAATAATTAGTTTTTATTGTGCTTTCCTTTCTGTTACTACTAACTAAACTCTAAACACCAACTACTTGTTAAATATTTTGGCTTTATTAATTTATTGCGCTAGTGCAAGTACACTGCTTGTGTTGGCAACTATAAATTTAATTTATTATAAAAAACATTTTTTTATTCTTGTAAAAACTTTTCTTCTCTAAAAGTGAACAAGATCAGATGAATGTCTGTAACGGCAGTTCTAAAAGTTTATAGCGCTTATAAATATCTATAGAACATTTAGTTTAAAGGTTTGTTATTTAATAATATTTAAATTTCGCTTACATCGTCTTCCATCAGTAATAACTTGTTCGCAATCGTAACTTAGTGTGGTCAAGGGGCATTTATACAATGCTCCTGATCTGGTCGTATTGGGTTGCTTGTTCTTTCCTAGAGGTGCACCAACTAATATCCTGGAAAAAGAAGAAAATTATGAATATTTCATATAAAAGTGGTATATTACTGAGAATTATGTAAAATAATAATTAGATTTGGAGATTCTTTTGGAGATTTTGTAACATGATTAGTGATATGCAGTTTGCAATAATTAGCAAAAAATTGTTTTAGATCTATAGTTTAAGTTAAAAATGACTGTCTTGGTCATAGCTTTATAAAGCACTCAGAAATAAATATTTCTGTAAGCTAATTATAAATGATAATTTTTTTTTTTTTTTTTTTGTTACAATTTATTTTTGTTAATCAAGACTTTAATGTCTTATTTACAAAATTGATATGAGCAAAAAAAAAATACAAAAAAACAAAAAATGCAATACATTGAATATAAAATGAAAAAGTTAAAATAAAAATTAAATTAAAACAGTAATACAAAAATAATAATAAATGAACGATGACGTGATGATGTATGCCGCGTACTACGTCAGGACGCGTGCAGACATTGGGCTAGGTGTTTGGTAGATCGGAAGGCCATTTCTTGCTCAATCTTCTTATCGGTCTCTGAATCGCTTGAATTGTAGGATTTGTATGCTGGATTAATTTGTTGTTGAAAGATGAACTTCTAATCTTGATCATTTCGTTGACTGTTGAGATTTTCAAATCCTTATGTAGGCAAAAATTCGAAATATACCAAGGCGCATTAGTAAGGATACGCAGAATTTTATTCTGGCACCTTTGAATGATGTTTATGTTAGATTTGCATGAGCAACCCCATAGTTCGATTCCATAAGTCCAAATGGGCACTATGATAGTTTTATAAAAAAGTACCTTGTTATCGAGAGAGATTTCAGATTTCCTCCCAAAAAGCCAGTAAAAATCTTTTATTTTCAGTTGGATTTGTTTCTTTTTATATTCAATGTGCGTTCTCCATGTCAATTTCGAATCAATGTGCATGCCTAAATATTTAACAGAATTGCATAGTGGAATTATTGAATTGTTCATGATGATAGGTGGACTGTTGTGATGTTTTAGAGAAACAATTATGTGCTGAGATTTTTCGATATTGATTTTGATATTCCAATCTAAAAACCATTTTTCGAGACTAGATAAATAATTTTGTAACTGACAAGTTGCTGTTCTAATATCGGAATTGCATGAAATAATTGCTATGTCATCGGCGTAAGTGCATATGGTTAAAAGATCATCTGTGGGCATATCGTTTGTGAAAAGAAGATAAAGTACAGGGCTTAGCACACTGCCCTGTGGTACCCCGCATTCTATATTTCTGATGCTCGAAGTCACATCTTTAATTTTGATTCTAAATTTTCTATTAAGCAAATATGAGCTTAAGATATTGAAGTAGTTTGGAAAAGTTGTTTTGATTTTATATAGGAGTCCTGAGTGCCAAACCTTATCAAAAGCCTGACTAACATCTAAGAATACGGCTACGCTGTGTTCCTTTCTATTCATGGCTTCAAGAATACGAGACACCGTTCTGTTGCATTGTTGAATTGTAGAGTGATTTTTTCTGAAGCCAAACTGATGGTGAGGAATCCAACTATCATTCGGATGATCTTCTGACAATCTCTGCAACAAAAGTCTCTCTAAAATTTTCGATAATATCGATAAAAGACTGATAGGACGGTATGAACTAGCAGTGTGATGGTTTTTGTTTGGTTTAGCGATCATAATAATTTCTGCAGTCTTCCACGCTGTGGGCCAATAATTGTATTGAAGTATGGCATTGAAAATATTTGTTATATATAAAATACCTTTTGTAGGCAATTCTTTTAACATCTTTGGAGTAATTTTATCCATACCCGGCGAAGATCTATTTTTAATCCTTTTTATTTCACATAAGACATCATTTGGTGAAAAATGTCCTAACGGTGTAGAATGTATGGGTTGATTTACGAAATTGTTAATTAAATTATTCTGGGAAATATTTCGAACGCTAAAAATGCTACTTAGATGATCAGCAAATGCCTCCGCTTTTTCTTCGTTGCTTTTTGCCCAAATGAATCCGTTTTGGTTGGTTATTTTCAGAGGAGGGTTTTGTTGTAGGGGTTTACTTTTGTTTCTGATTGGTTTCCATATGGAATTATCGTATCTATTTAGCTGCAATATATACGACCTGAATGTACAATTCTTCCATTCTTTCATTTTTTTCCTCAGCGTGTTATTGAGATGATTGAGCGATGTCTTATCCGTTGGTAGATGAGAATGTTGCCAGGTACGTCTTGCTCTTCGTTTCTGTGCAATTAGCTTCTTAATCTCTTGCGGAATTATTAGATTATCATTTCTTGGAATAATGTTCGGGGTGATCTGCTTGGTTGTTTCACGTACAATCTCAGAAAAATAATCTATATTATTTTCTATATCAATAACGCTTGTAGGCCTAGATTTTGGAAATAATTTTGAATCAAGTATGGATTTGAATTGAATCCAGTTAGAAAGATTGTTGTGTAGAATATGATTGTTGATAACTGGAGTAGGAAATGTGCTAAACGTCACAAGTATTGGAGAATGATCTGAAGAGAGATCGTAACTAGATTCAACATTGAGATTTGAAAGATCAATACCTTTCACAATAAAAAAATCTAAAAGGTCTGGAACTTTAGTAGGGTCAGAAGGCCAATAAGTTGGACTGCAAGTTGAAATAAAGGAGAGGTTATTTTGCCCTATGGCTGCATGAAGAATCTTTCCTTTGGCTGTAGTCAGTCTAGAACCCCAGGCAATATGTTTACAATTAAAGTCACCACCAATGATAAATTTATTACCTAATTGAGAGAAAAATGAAGAAAACTGAGCACAAGAAATTTTGAATCTTGGTGGACAATAAACAGCAGAAACACAAAAATTATATAAATTTGTTTCAACAGAAATTTGAGTTGCTTGTAGAAAATCATCAGAAATATTTGGTAGAACAAAATGCTTTATATTATTTTTGATTAATATAGCCGAACCGCCGCGAGCCCTGCCACTTGGGTGATTTGAATTATAAGTAGTGTAGTTATAAATTTTAAAGTAGTTTTTTTCAGTGAAGTGAGTTTCTGAGATTAATAAGATATCTATTAAGTTTAACTTTAAAAAACATTCTACTTCATTTTTGTGAGGTATTAAACCGTTGGCATTCCATTCAGCAATTTTAATTATTTTTGCCATTGCTTTTGTTGTTGACTAACGTGGATAACATATTTATTATTATGGTGTTCTGTTGCAAAAGCTGATTGAAGATATTTTTAAATTCTAAAATAAGTGTTGCTAGAGAATCAGAATCGGGATTTGAAGATGAATGATTAGAAGCAGAGTAATTGTTTTTTGCAATGTCTGCATAGGATGAATTTTGAATTGTTGGATTTAAGGCCGGAGAAATGTTGTTTATTTTATTATTAGAATTAGAATTATTAGAATTATTAAAATTTTGGTTATTTGGATTTGGATTTATGACTGATTGATTTACTGGAGTTTTGTTTCTTTGTTCTTTAATTTTTTGGAAGTATGAGCAACCGCGATAATTAGCTGGATGAGCACCGTCGCAAAAATAACAACATGCCGGAGCATTCGGATCTTTGGTACAAGCTTTAGTATTATGATTGTCACCGCATTTTAGGCAAGCAAATGGTCTATTGCAGTATTTTTTGGTGTGATTAAAGAGTTGACAGCGAGTGCATTGTATAATGTTGTTGGACTTTCTCGGTGGTTCGACGCGTATTAGGCAGTTGAATAATTTATAAATGTTATAAATATTTTTGTTATTTCTATTTGGTTCCAGATCAACAAAAAACATATTAAGAGGTTCTTTTGTTATTCTATGTCTAATATTTAGGATATTACGTACGACATGACCTTGTTTTAATAGTTCTAATTTAATTGCATCTGTGCTTGTCGAAAAGTGTACATTTCTAAGAACAACCCTATAAGCCTTCTCTTCTTTTAATTGATATGTATGATATACGGCATTAGTTTCTTTTAGATGTCTGGATAAAGTTCGAAAATGGTCGACAGAATTACATAGAATTTTAAATGTATTGTTAGCTAAACTTCTCAGGAAATATTGATCATGCGGAATTATTTCATTTAATTGATTAGACATATCATTAATATCGTCAACTCCGTAATAAATATTGGAGGGGGCTTACTGACTGGGGCCGGTTTAACTAAGTTGTCATCATTAGCTGTGTCTATTGTTGAAAGGGCCGAAAATCTGTTTTGAATTTTGACATCTATTCCTAATGGTTCAAATGAAGTTTTTCTTTTTTTGAAATTGACTACTTGCCATGAATTAGGAGGTTTCTTGACATCAGAATGTGGTTGAGTGAGGCTTGTAGATGCACTATTACTAGATGATATTACTTCCTGTCTTGAGTCAGAAACTGATGAAGTTGAACGCAGCGAGACCTTTCCCGATGTAAACATATTGGTCCGACCTTCTTCGCGAGGTATCTTGCTGTATTTGCTGGATCCAATAACGGTCTTTCGTAGTTTTGGGATTTCTGATGGTTTACTGTCCGATTCCATATTCGCTTCTATATCTTGATTGAAATGTAAGACATTTTTTTGATTCCACAAACGCACATTAGAATCTCGATTATGTATGGTTTTTTGTAAGCAATTATTTAATTATCTGTACACTTTTGTAAGCTTTTCATGCAATTATAATAAACCGTAAAATTCAATCTGACATGCCAAATGATAATTATGAGCAGGTTAAACTAAGATCATATCCATTTATCTTGTATGTGCGTATTAAGTCTCTCCTTCGATAACTCAGGTTGTTGAGCTATAATTTAACTCTTGTAGCTGTGGACTGTATTAAACACTGATTTGTTGGCATAATTTATATATTTGTTGCAGTTTTTGTTACAATCACTGATTTGCCCTAAGTTATAACTGAATGGGATATATTTATTGATTATTTACTACATATAAGCGGACTTTAGTTTTAGAAGTGAGAAAAATTAGTCCCATCAAACTCTCCGCTGCCACCTCTACCAGGGGTAGCAACCATCC